CTGTTTTTCGTACACTTTGAAGTACAGGAACGTCTTTAATTTTTAAAGATTTAATATATAAAACAAACCTCTCAATGTTATCTTTTAGAATACGTATTTTATCTTTCGTTATTGCTCGTTTGGTTTCTGTTTTATTATTTAAATTTTTAGAATTTAATATGTCAAATACGTCGTTAAATGTCTTGCAAAATGTCGTGGTTGCTGAAGCTCCGGCAAAATGAGGTAATTTTAAGTCATATTCTCCAAACCCAAGTGCAGCAGTTACCGAATTACTGAAAACTTGTGCTGCTAAATGTACTTTCATTTTTTCGTTGTAAAAGTATACATGTCTACTTCTAACTTTAATCGCAAGGTGTAATTTTTCCGCGTCTTGTAACGAAATTAATTGCCGTATAAATTTCCAACTAATTATATGATTTTCGTTATCACTTAAGTCTTCCTTACCAAGTGCATTTCTAACAAGTTTTATCATGTGACACGCGTCATAAAAAATATATATACGTTTAGACTCATCAGCGGGATGGACAAAATATGGTACAATCTGTTCAATTTCAGTTTGTTTCAAACGTGCGCCCAATTCTTCACACATAGATATATTGGAAGATACTCCATCAAACGTAATACTGACAATATCTAGATCGTTTTCATGAAGTGCACATAAAATAGTCTTTAATAACTTTGCTTTTTCACGGCCATTTAATTTATCAGTGAAGTAATACGCAATTGGAAGTTTAAAATTCTGGTTTATTGCAACTAACATAAAGACAAAAATTTCACTAGCAAGCGGCACTTTATCTTTAGCAATGGCACCGATGTCAACAAAACCATGTGATTTTTGTTTATCCCAATCAACACTTTTTCTAATACTCATTTCATCGAAAGTTAAATTGAACACTATTTTCTTATTTTTTTCGCGAGCATTTCGAACTACATTGCGTACGGTTTTTAATGCTTGGTCAGATATACCGGAGTCGCTACTAATATTTTGCATCCATGTTCGAATAGTAGTTGGATGTGGAAGACATTTTAAAAACGTTTTTCTTAGGAATGAGTATGCCGCAGGGGAGTGAAAATGGAGCGTACAAGCAAAACGTCTCAAAGCGTGTGGAAAAACTTTTGGCTTTCGCTCATTTAAAAGTCTTGTTAGTAATTCTTCTACAGGACCAGGCACTACATCCTATAAGACATTACGATATTATCTCATTTACCACCCGTAACGTGATAAATTACATCATTTATACTTTACCGAAGTATTCGGGTTCTCTATACGTTTATATACAATTTCGAAATAAAATAAGAAGAAACTTGTTATTTTAACTTCTTACATTTACCTAATTACTTTTACATTTACATGATTACTTACTTTTCTTTACTTTCTTACTTTCTTAATTGTTATATTAACTTTTAAGATTTTGTTTGAAGTTGAAAAGGAAAGAGAGAGAGAAAGAGAGGTTGTGTTGTTGTTTTTTTGCGGCTATTAGTGGCAGTTGTAATGCGATAGGTCAAGCCGCGCATTCTACGTAGGCCGGTGAAAAGGCGCGCAAGCAGCGCCGACTACGTTGCGTCCCAGGCGGCGAGGCGCAAGTTTACCGCGCATGCTTGAGCATGTTGGGAGGGGCGCGCAGCCCGGGCGAGCGAGCATTCGTCTTCCGGACATCGTGCGTTACACACCCGTTGTAATCAGTTCGAGTAAAATACGTAGTTGCGTCATCTTTTCGCTGTTAACTTGTAATCGAGTTGTGAGGTAGCCGAGATCTGCCTCTCAGTGTGCAGCAGCCAATATACCGGTGGATCGTGTACGCAGCATAAGAAGGACAACAACTATCGTCGCAGAAAGGAAGCCATTGCGATACGTCCTAGCGAGCCTGACCGGCACGTGGAAAGCTCAAAGAGAGCAGCCATTTTCTGGAACGTTCGAGAAACCGTCTCTTGGTTTGATCATTGCTATTTTCAACCATTACCGTAATATCAAAGCCTCAATTATAAGGTACCGCCTTTAATCTGTACGAGATAGACAGTTAGAATCCCGTCTAACGTATTACAAGGAATCTCCGATTCTTTAACGTCAGACCCCGTCTAACGTATTGCAAAGAGTCCCCGATTCTTTAACATTAGACCCCGTCTAATGCTGTACAAGAAATCCCCGATTAGTTAATCTATTAATCTTACATCTCGAGTTAAATCGACCGTTTTCTTCATAATAAAAAACTGTAATTCTTTCTTTCGTGCGATTAATTCTTTATAATCAATTCTATAATATCTTTTGTAGTTAATTACGTTAACTTGCGTACATTCGTTTCATTCACAACTAAATTAGAATGTTTTACTTGCGGAATACATATAAATCGTTTTCACGCGTCGTGACAACATTATCAAATAATCGTTTGCTTGCATTGCTAGAAAATCTCTTACTCAATTACTTTATATTCTCTTAGTGATTATTTTGCAAATTATTAATTATCTAATATTACGTTTATGCTGTGGTGAATTAATGTGTCAATCAAAAATTGAAGGCCTATTCTAAGTTTTAATTCAGTAAACTCAGTGAGAAATTTATTGCTTGTGTCTTTGTTGTTGCTTATGTTGTATGTATAGCTTGTGTTGTAGTAATCGCTCATGATGTAATCTGTTTCCTTGCCGTAATTTAGACACGAGTTAGGTAATACTCAGTCAATATTCGAATTACAAATAATATTCTTTACTAGACAGATGATAGTTATTCATGATTTCAACTAAAAGATTGATGCATTATTTCCCCGATTATACAAATTATAACTGAATTAATATTTTTGTTTTGAATTGATTTGTGTTTCAAACGATCCTTTCTTTAGAAAAGAACAACTAATTTTGAGCTTGACTACGTCAAGATAAATTATATGAGAACATACTATTACAATTCTTTTTATAACAAATCTTGTTATATGATAAAGAAATACCTCAGTAAAAATTCAAAGTATATTCTGCCATATCTTTAAGGAAAGGACTGTTCTATACTAATAATTTTCTTTTGTCTTATACTTTGTACAGCTTATTTTCTTGTAAGATACCAAATTATTTTCTTTTGTATTGTAATTTTGTTCACGAATACTGGGAAGGTTTTTGGGCAGTTTCCCTTCCCCTAGGCAACAAATGTTGGTATTCTTTGTATAGTTCTGCCCGATATCAATTTTCTTAATTACATAAATCACTAAACACAATCTCTCTCTCAATAAACGGATTTTTTTTATTTGTTCCTTCCTCAACAAATTCTCGAGTTCAGGTTCAGGTTTGTGCGTGAGCTTGTGCAAACAGATTCACATAATTATTTTTACATTTACATAATTACATACTATTCTTTACCTATTTTCTTTATATTATATCTACATTTATTCTCATTATTGTCCTAAATACAATTTTAATCTCAGCACTGTTGTCCTAAATACAATTTTAATCTCAGCAGTGCTTATATTAACAAATACTTAAGTATAATACTTGCTGGTTGGCAATCTATTAAATAACTTCTGTACAAATATCAATATGGACTGCACATTTTTATGTTATAGTTTTATATTCGTAACAATTACTGTTAACTGAAATATAATTTACAAGTATTTTAAGTTATTCATTAATTACGAAATACATAAAAATCTGCAGTTTCAAAGCATTATTAATTACTAACCTTCAGGGCATTTGCAACATCTTCTGTTACCAAATTTTTAGCTTTCAACATTTGTGTCATAGATTGCAGCGATATTAATTTTTTTTCTAATTTTGACTTTCGTGCAACAGACACTTTGTTTAAATATCTATTATATCGTAGATATTTTGTAAATGTTATCCAAGCATAACTAGTGAATTCTGTTTTTTTTAAACATTCTACATTATGTTTACCAGTTTTGACGAAAACCTTTTCAACTTCGTCAATATTACATCGTTTTCTGAAACAAAAGTTTATTTATAATATTTGCAAATTGGAACAAATTAGAATGTTTATTTTTGTGTTTGTCTTACCTTTTCCCACTGCTATTTCTTTTTGAAAGTATTGCCCCATTACTAGTATTATTGTTACCATTACTAGTATCATGTTCGATACCCATTATTGAGTCTTGACTGTCTTGTGTGTTTGTTATATTGCTTGAGTTTTCTTTGTTTTGACGAGATCTATATGAAACAAAAAACATTTCTTTATATCTGATACTTTATGTATAAAATATATGTATATCTATATATACAATTTTTATGTAATAACCTTTTATTATAGTAACAATAAATAATATAACCTTAATAAAAGTATAATTTATATAAAAAAAAAAAAAAAAATGTAATCTTATTTTATTGAAAAGTCTATTGTTACTTTTGCATAAAAATAGATGGAATTGCAGTTTTGTATAATCTTTTACATGGTACAAATGTGCCACAGTAATAACAATCTTTATGTGCAAAATGATCACTGCAAATTCTTGCATTTTTGTAAGCACTGATAGTGTACCCAATGCTAGCAAACCATTTTTCTCGCCTTTCTGCATCTTTCGGAAAACTAAACATAATACTATACATTATTTTAAATTAAAAGCTGAAGAATATTTTTATACCGAATAATATATTTATTCCGCCAGTGATTATTAACAGAAATAATTACTTTAAACCGACTTTACAATATTTAACATCGATTGATCTTTCCGATATGAACATCCGATATGAAAAACTGCGAGCCAACTTGGTTTGTCGGACACAGTACTTTTTAATCAATCGTCGAGATGTTAATTCCGAGACGTATAATATTTTTATATAAAAAAATACACATGTGATAAAATCTAACCACTTCCAGATTTACACATTACCTGTGAAATTGTCGTGGAAACGAAGGATCGAATTCTTTCCAACATATATAGCAATTCACCATTTTTTGCAATTTTAGCCACACTTTGGCAATTTCAGCCAAGCTCCTCCGAACTGCGTTTGCGTTTCTGCCCGCGTGCCTGTGTGTGTGGGTGCGCGCGCGCGTCCCCGACGCCGTACGTGCGTCGCGCGTTCTCTGGGTCCTGCGGGTTCCGTGGGTCCTGTGCCGTAACCGTGCCGCGCGTACGGGATGTAGGGATGGGCGAGCGGGCGGTCGGACGCACCACCACGGCCACCACGCACGGCACGCACCACGTCGCGTGTCACTCCCTCGGCCTCGGTCGTCGTCGTCGTTTTCTCTCGCTCACGCTCTTGCTCTTGCTCTCGCTCGCGCGCGCGCGCGTTCTCGTCGTCGTCGGGTCTCCTCCCTCGTGCAACTGGTCAACGGGCTCGGGACACCTGTCGCGATTTCGCGCACCATGATATCCGGCCTCCGTGTCGGTCCCGGTCGGCGAGTCGGTCGACGGACGAGCGATCGGTCGATCGTAACCTGCCAAAAGTACCAAACTCCGCACGTTCACGCACGTTGTGCGCGTTCCAGCATTTCACTTTGCACAACGCGGTTTCCGCTTATACGCACTTATACGGCCATAACTAATTTCAGCACTTCTAGCCGTTCTGTTTCAGTCGTTTCATTCCTTGTTCCTTGTTCCACCTCGCTCCTCAATGCCTCCCTTCCATCACGCTTATTTTGCGTACGCATGCGCGAAACGAGAGAGAACGAACAGCCACACAACAGAGTGTCTCTCTTTCTACGTCGCCTATATCCCCACTCCTCAAATTTGAGCATATGCTCGGTCTAGATATAATGGCCTAGTTTACACCGATCTCTTGATACGCGTATCATATAGTATATTTGAACTGATCAGCCAATAATCAGACTTATTTACTAGTTATTTACTATTTAATACGCGTATCAAGTGATCGGTGTAAACTAGGCCAATATGTCTATGGTGTAAACTAGGCCTATTAATCTGTGCCTCCGTCACGCTGGTACTATTTTAAGTGCAGAAAGTGTGACATGGTGTAGCTAGCTCAAAAAGAATTTTAGTAGCAGTAGCACCGAAACGCCGATTAATTACAACCTCCAAATTGTCCGAATGGTCCGCGGGTCCGAAAGTCCGAATTGGTCCGAATCTTCGGTTATAAACAGTCGTTTCTCCCGTGTTTATATACGAATCGATTACATTATAAGAACGAAGTGTGCGATGTAACAACGATGTTATTCGACGAGAGTAATTGCCGAGTGTTTTTAAAGAGAGGGAAATACATAAGTATGTATGTACGGTATGTACATACATATATATACAGTATCGGGATGATAAGAAAGATCTCGTAATAAGGTGACCCTCGAGTCAAATAACGCAGGTACGACAGCAGGCATTTGAGATATTACGTTAATTTGCCCGTTTTTTTTTTTTTAAAGCGTTACATTATAAATATATATGCGTTATACTAACAAGAGCGCAAATTTCAATGATTGTATATTTATCAGTAAATGTATATAATTGAGGCGATAGATGGATCAATAATCTGGCTCTCTGGAGTTCTTTAGTTTTCTTTGCGTTGAGAAATTTATTTTCCGAATAATTACGAAAGTTACATGAGCATATAAAAAATTTTTGAGAAAGCATAGAATTATTCGAGATTCAAGGTTTCACGCACGAAGTCGGTATGCACAAGCAAAGAGGATATCGAAGTAAAAGTATGATAAAGCATTTTGTTTTAAATAAATAGAAACAAACAAATCGTATTATTAAAATGCATTATCAAAATAAAAACATACGATTGTATTATATAGTCATCTATTATCAAAAAGATTACTTTTAATGCAGGATCAGTTTTTTTATTTGTGCTCATTAAGAACTTTTGATTAACTTTGGCGAATAGTATATTTTCCTGAATGCTCTTCTCTATACATTTTTTTATTAAAGAAATGTCAAAAGCAAGAAAAATAATTTTTAGTTATTTATATTGCATAAAAATGTTTATACCTATATGTATTGAAAATGTTTGTTTCTTGTTGTAGATGTATCTTGAAGATGGAACTCAAATGTACAATTCAAATGTACGATTGGGGAAAACGTGGTATGAACAGTATTGTCGCGTCTTTGATAAAATCAGCCAATGCCGATTTCATAGTGGATGAGCAGAAGACTTATGCAGAATTATGGATGGGCACTCACAAGAATGGTCCATCGTATCTTAAGGATACAGATGTCCCTCTGCAGAAATACATCCAAGAGAATATCGAGACGTTAGGTGGCAACGGAGTACAAATGTTTGGTTCCAACTTGTCTTTCCTCTTTAAAGTCTTGTCTATAAGTAAAGCTTTGTCCATTCAAGTACATCCGGATAAGGTAACATCTTTTTTCCATTAAGCATAAAAGTGTGGTGCGTTACAATCAATCTGTGGTCTTTCAGAAAAAGGCGAAGGAGCTGCACGAGTTATATCCAGATATTTACAAAGATCCGAATCATAAACCGGAACTAGCGATAGCTCTGTGTCCTTTTGAAGCACTATGCGGATTCCGTCCACTTGATGAAATAAAAGATTATCTGAATAACATATCGGAGTTATTTGCCGTCGTAGGGGAAACCAATGTTCATCGCTTATCTCAAGCAGCTGATTCTACAATCAGCGACGCTTTGCAACAGTGTTTTTACAGTCTTATGACTTGTGATTCCAATAAAGTAACACAGCAATTGAGAAGCTTGATAGACAGATTACACAATACAGGTAATAACTTTCTTAACGATTGTACCATAATTTATTGATTGTACCGTAATTTAATGATTATACCATACTTTATTGTATACTTGTGTATCTTTACGTTCTTCTTCGTCGGAAGAATCCTTTGTTAGAAAATATAATCATGTTTAGTCGCTCTCAGATGATTCTTATAGGCAGTGGATAAAAGCCAATCTGTTAGAACGTTTGCATGGGGATTACCCTGGAGATGTAGGCTGTTTTGCAATATATCTATTTAATTATGTAACGCTGCAGCCAGGTGAAGCCATATACATTGGACCAAACGTACCTCACGCGTATCTCTCTGGCGGTAAATTATTTTTGGATTTGGATTTTAATATGTTTACTCAAATATAATAAATTGAGTTTTCAATCCAATTTTCAGATTGTATAGAGTGTATGGCATGTTCAGATAATGTAATAAGAGCTGGACTTACACCAAAACTGAAAGATGTAGAAACTTTAATCCAAGTATTGTCATTTGAATGCAAATCGTCTTCTGTGAAAAAGATTCAACCATTCCGAGAAGATACATTCACCCAAGTTTTTCGTCCGCCAGTTTCAGAATTTGCAGTTGCTAAAATCACTGTGAGTTTTGATACGTTATTATTCAGTGAAATAATCGCGATTGTATTTTTATCTTAAATATCTTGCAGTTACCGCCTGGACGACCATCTTACAGTTTAAAACCGAGAAACTCGCCTAGCATTCTGTTAATAGTTGGTGGTAAAGCAAAAATATCTTCTAAGATTTTTTCCCGTGGGTCCGTTTTGTTTATTCCTGCCAATGATGAAGTGGAGATGAAAGTTTTATGTGGTTGCCATCCTATGCTGATGTTTCAAGCATTTTCAAATGTTTGAGAATGTGGATTAAATCAAACGTTGATAATATGCTTGTGAAGTGCCAAATATGGTTAACATTTTAAAGCAGTTTATACATGAAATTTTCTGTACGCATAATGATGTTAAATTTTCTAATTACTTGCTAATGTACATGATTTTCTCGAGAGTACATGAAAAACGTTATCTTGAGAAGCACAGTTATGAACTGTACATTATCTAGAAACTTATTTATACAATAACTATATTATATAAAACATGTGGCAGAGTATCGGCATAAATCATGCCGCAGAGTGATGTGCGCCAATGATCCGGGTTCTAATCCAACCAAAAATTCGTCAATTGCGACGATCGTCACCTCTCGGATGGTGATGGCAATCCACTGAAAGTATCTTGTCACGAGAACCTCTCTGTATTTAGAGAGAAAACCCTCAAGGTTGGGGATTGGACGGTAGGCTGACAACCTACTTTCAGAAAACAAATCATGTCTCAAAACCTTAAAAGATTTGAGGAGGCCCGGGACCTACTTGGACTGTAGCATTGATTGATCGATTGATATTATATAAAACATTATTCGATGAAGTTTATTAATAAACATATAAATATATTTATATATATAAATCAGTCATCCTCTGATTCGTTGCCTTTCTTTGAGGTACTCTCCGCGGGCTTTTCTTCTACTTTGTAATGTCGATACTCCGGTTTCAATTCCCACATATTTCTATGGGGATTTTTTAAGTTATAATTACAAACTTCATTGAGGATTTCCTTTAGATAAACCTGAAATTTACGTCATATTTAATGTTAAAATTGTAATTTATAAAATAAACTATGCATTCTGAATTATTTGTATGAACAGATGGAAAATATATTTACAATAGGTTGCTTCGTGATCTTTACAAGGTCCCTTATATTATAATATTGATGGTTCTCGAATGCTGCAAAAAGCATATCCAGCACAGCGTCCTTGTCATCTCTCATTTTTTTCCCTTCTGCTTTCTTCTTTTCAGCATACTCGATCTGTAAAATGTTCCTGTGTGTCAAAGATTGGTTTCACAATGTTAAAAAAAAGTTAATAAAAATAATGCTTACATTATGTTTGTGATCGGATACAGGCTTGAAGTTTTGTACAACTCTATCTAACTGCTGGACTTGCCTCTGTGGCACAGAAGCTCTCTTGATACTTTCTAATTTCAATTTCATGTAACAATTATCAGCTGAAACAATTTTATTTTATAATGCAACTTGTTTCTAAGAAGATAAAAGTATATATCTACATTTATATGTGCAAGATAGTATACCATATGGTCTGCATTCTAATTTCTGTACAATCCTTCCTTCCATAAAGAGTTTCTCTGTTTCTGGAACAATTGCGTCTAAACTTGCGGAGGCTGCAAAATTAACGATAAGTATTGTAAAAAATATCTTAACTGGGAAATTCCATCAGACTTACGGGCAACATGAGAAAATACTCCTAGCATCTGTCTGGTGACTGTTGTAACATCTAACCTATGTTGTTTTGGTATTTCTCCTTCTCCGGATTCTTTCAAGGCTAAGACAGCTTCCGATAATTTGAGAGATACTTCAGCTTTCTGTCCAGGATTTCTAGAGAAGGTAGATAAAGATGAGAATTAAATTAATAGATAAACAGATTAAAGTATCCATTTCTATAAGTGGAAAATTATAGCAGATACATGTACTACAAAAAAATGTAAACAATAGAGAGGATATAAACCAGGTATTAAGATTCAACGTTTGCATGGCTGTTTTCATATTTAGCAGCACAATGCAACAAACAAGATGAATAAATTTTACAACAAAAGCGAAGATCATGCTCATATATTAAAGATAAGATGCTTTCATTTTGGGAGAAACAATTCTAGTTTTAATCAGAGATAAACTCACTTGGTGATCTTCAATTTGCCGACTTCTATATTGCCAGGTGCCTTTTCCCACTTGTTAGCTATGTATTTAGGCACTTTGACCAGCCACACACCGCGGCCAGCGTTGCTCAAATCCAATTCTCTTTCCGTGTGTGTGACACTCGTAGACATTATTATTTCTTCAATATCTCGGTAAGAAAAACAAAACTATCCACTTTCTCTTTTCTCAGTAATGGCAGAGAGAAACCTGAGAGAGGCCATCCCGGCATTTTTCGTCAATTTTTATATGTCGCATTTTCCGACGCGCCGCCTGAGAAAGTGCAACTCAACTACGTCGTTTCGCTCGGCAACCGCACATGGTTATTGGTTTTTGCGTCCGTGCTAATGGTTCGTGTCCGAACTAGCCAGTTAGAGGGGATATGCTGCGGCCGCGGCGCACAGTGGAGCCGTTTGCGCGAATCGCGGAAAAAATTATGTTACTTGTGAAATATGCAATGAATGATCATAGAACCTTTCAATGTTGACTTATAAAAATTGCAAAAATGTATATTTATTAAAAATTAATGATAGGAACAAGTATTTGATTGAAATTAAATAATTCAATTTACATTTAATTTACGTATAAGAGCAAAGTAATTCTTGCGTCTCATCGCTTAAGTCTAAATTTTTTTGATGTGGTTTACTTCTTAAACTAGTTATTAACGGATCGGATGACACGAGCATCATATGCATAACATCTTCATTTGTAAACAGACGGCTACATTTTCTACTATGATTAAGTCGATATCGTTTATAGTCCTTATTTCTTGCCTCTTGAGCTTCTTCCGATAATGTACGTCCCAACAGGTAACGCTGCATTTTCCGAGGCATTTTCTATAATTTTTTTACCGTACGAAGAAGAATTTTATGAACGACAATTGGCATTAAGTACCAAGAATATTTTTCAATAAATATTTCCGCTGCCTTGTACGCATAAGAGCCGAATTTTTCTGAATTTATTTCTTCACCACAATTAATCGTTTGTAATATTGTGGAAAATCTTCTGATCAATTCCTCGTCAACTCCAGTTATTTCTGCTGTGATTTTTGGATCAGCAAAAAATCGTCGAGAAGTATTTTCGTTATTAGATGATCCGGAACCTTGTTTAACGATGTCTATCCTCAGTTCAAGTTTATTATAAAAAGCGTCTTGTATTCTTTTTTTTGTTTCTTCTTTTTGAACGCGTGTTTCTGGCGTTGTTGACCACTTCTTGAAAGACAAATTGTAGGCAATATGTAATATACATTCCATGAATTTGATTCGTGCGTGCAAGGCGGGTGACATTCCTAATTTGAGTGCTTTTTTTCTTTGTTAGACCTTTTATTAATTTCTGTTAAGTTGTTCATTTGAGATGGTTTGGAACCGCAAATGAAGCACGAAGATGATGAAGGCGTGTGGATTACAGCTTGAGCTATACCTTACCGTCTATCATCGTAAATATCATTTGATGATTTATTTTGAATGTGGTTCCGAACTTTTCTATTTCTGTTTCTCGTAATTGAGCAATTTCGTCATCCATACGTTGCTTTTCACTTTTTATTTTTTCAGCAGTTTCTTTTGTGTATTCAAATTGTATTGCTCTGCAATATCTCGTTGAAGAAGGTCGATCATTATTCCAAATAATAATATTTTTATCGTAAAATGAAGTAAAACGTAAGGGCATCATCTGTGACTAGTTAGTGCCAATTGTTATAAAAGACTTTTGCAGCAACAATGCACAGCTCTAGGCGTCTCTCGAAGCGGGATGGCCGTTCTCAGGTTTCTCTGGTACTGCACATCGCCATTTTTTGGGGCGCGACTAATCAGAGGATTTTTGTATGCGTGCTACTCGTGGTAGTGCAAAAAGTGTAACACAGTGCAGTGCAGCTGCGGAGAGCAGTTTTTTTCTGTCACAGCGTGCGTTTTTTAACCTAAAAATCATGCGTTTTGTGCTATTTACATATGCTTCTCATGTAATGTATTTATGGCGTACTATTGTTATTAATGTATTAATAAATCAAAATAATAAAGAGTAATGCTGAATCTCTTAAACAGGTAAAATTAGTCTATTAAAGTGTTTTTGGAAATATATGAAATGCGTTGGGATATGTGCAATGTAAAACTGAATTTTTATGTCGAAATATTGCAAATGGATATATTTAATAATAAATAGTAATTCACTGACAATGTAAAGAATGATGAAGTTGCAGTCTCACATAATCTGTCATAATTTACATATTTCAATACCTTTCCTATGAATTAACTTTGCTCGAGACAAAACTGGTAAAACTATCTATTTTGGTTTTCCAATTCAAAGTTTATTCAAAGTTTAAATGTACGTTAATTAATTCGATATATTAATATCAAATTAAACAATAAATAATATAAACAGTATAACAATATAAATAATGGAAATATTATGTCAATAAAGAATGATTTGAAACTTAAATATTAATTCGTTAAACATAGGGCTTGAAAATTATGTATGTTAAGTACTAATGTTTGAAAATGTTGATATATATTTGTGATATGCAGATATATCTTTAGACAAATTTAACAATGAAATTTATATTATGTATATGTTTATTTGCTGTAGTTTATAAATCGTCTACTACTCATATAAAGTGATAAATTATGAAGGAGCCTACAACAAAACAATTACAGCGATTGGAAAAGAAGAAGGCAAAGATGGCAGCATTTTTGGAAATTGCAAGACTCAATGATAAAGATAAGGAAACAAAAATGGAAGCTTTGAAACAGGTTTATATTTAGAGAATAACTTGAATGTGAATATTTGAAGAATAACTTGAAACAATGCTCTCGTAATTACCTTTACAAAATCATTTTTAGATAGTTGCCACTGATGGATCTAGCAATCTAAACGATAGTAACATGGCAGGAGACAATTCTACTCGTAAGCGATCTTGTGAGAAAAATTCAGATGTTACATGTTCGGAAATTTGTAAAGAGGAAAATGTCCCTGATAAGTCAGAATTACAGGATAATAATAAAAAACCCAGGTAACTGTCAATTTATCTTCTACTTTTCTCTTAAGATAGCCCGGCCCCCATACGAGTGCGATATGGCCACATTTGTCGATTTATAAATAGGGTTAGTGTATGAAATACACCAGACATAATATTGTTATACATATACGGGGTGTATCAGATCACCTGTTCCACCCGATTTTTTAGTAAGCGCGAGGTGAGAAAAAATTGGGAAGAAATGTTGAGAGAGCCCTATATCTTATCCGAAGAATCGAATGATATTTTCATAGAAGAAAGAAGGGACCAATACAAGCATTTTAAGTATAGGAATCATATGGGTCGACGATGCTTCGTTACGGTGTGCTATATGCGTTTAAAATTTCACTGCAGTGCGAAAAAACATTGGTATGTAACTTCAGGAGTCGATAGAGGACACAAATACAAGCATTTTGAACATATAAACCATGGGTCCTTGGTCCTTAGATTGGGCGCTACACGCGTTTAAAGTTTCACTGCTGCGGCCTCACCTGTGAGCAACCCATGATCGCTATGTTCAAAATGCTTGTATTTGTGTCCTCTATCGCCCCCCTGAAGTTACGTACCAAAGTTTTTCCGCACCGTAGTGAAACTTTAAACGCGTGTATCACCGTAACGAAGCGTCGTCAACCCATGGTTCCTATACTTAAAATTTTTGTATTGGTTCCTTCTTTTATCACACAAATTTATGGCATTTAGTTTTTCGTCACCCTGTATATATATCGTACTATATATACATATAACCCATATATGTATAGATTAAGTGATAGCAAGCAATATGCGAATTTGAAGGAAGAACTTAGAAAACGTAAAAAGAGGCTTCAAGCAATTCCAAGACTCACTCTCAAAGCAGTCGGCGAGAATGCTACTCTGAATATTCGAAATATGGAAAAGAGGATACCGATATTTCTTAGCGACATACAGCATCTTCTGTTATATTCACTGCTCGGGCATCATTCGCCCTACTTACCAGCGAGATGGTGTCAACTTGAGAAGTATAACAAAGTAATATTTGACTAATGTAGCATTAAACAGTACTTTATTCTAAAAATAGATTTAAATTATGATATTCAAAGAAAACTAAATTTTTTCAAAGATAAGCCACACCGTCGTCTTCGTGCTTGAAGGTTTGTCTTCATATCATTACGTGGCTTATGAGAGCATGTTCCCACATATAGTAAGTAACTTAAAGCACCGTTTAGAGGTGATAACGCCTACTGTTTATGGAGCGTCCATAACCGAAGAGCTCGCAGCTGTTCCTTTAACAGGAACTCAAAGCGATAAACTAATTAAACGTATGTTATATAAAAGTAAAATATATTTGATATATTTTCCATTAAAATAAATACTTTTAAGTACAAAATAAAATATTCTAGTTGAACATTAGAATATATATTAAAAAAATACAGCAAAGAAGATTCTATAATATATTAATTTCTAATATCAATAAAAATTTTTATATATTGTGATGGCAATGGAAGACAATTGTTCGTTTTTAGAATATGGCTCCTTAGAAACTGCTTTACAAACAAATGGAAATGTCATAAAATTGCTAAGAAGTGTATTTCCAATGCATTCGATAAATAGCGATGAAAAATTTCCTACAAAAAACAGCTCCAACAGAACTTTACCACCGACAGATAAATTTTGTAGAACAAAACTGCTTTTGTCATTATGGCAGATGGTAGAGGAAAACTATCCCGTGCCTCTAAAAGGAACATTAGCAGAAAGGCAAGATTTTGCCGTTACATAGACATTAATTATGTTATTGTAATAAAATCATAATTAATCGAGTTAATATAATTCTAGATACGGCTCGTATATATTAACAAAAGATGTTTATAAAGAAGCCACATCGACATCGCCAATGTTCGGTTTGGATTGCGAAATGTGCCTAACAACAAGTGGTAATCTGGAACTTACTAGAATAAGTATTGTGGATGAGAGCATGAATGTGAGTACAGTTACATACTTGTGCGTTAGGTGACAGTATGCAAATAAAACGTTTCAATTACAGGTTATTTATGACAGTCTGGTGAAACCAGAGAATACGATAACGAATTATCTGACTCGGTACAGCGGTATTACTGAGGATATGCTAAATGATGTCACGGTTACATTGCACGACGTTCAGCAGACACTGAGGTCGTTACTTCCTCCGGACGCAATTCTTGTAGGACAAAGCTTGAATTCCGATTTGCATACGTTAAAAATGATGCATCCTTACATCATCGATACCTCCGTAATATTCAATCTTACTGGGGACAGGTACTGTAAAATATCATAAATATCAATGTTAGTGAATATAAATGCATTTCAATTAATGTTCTGTTATCTGATACAGATATAGGAAAACAAAATTGCAGATTTTGGCACGTGAATTCCTCGAGGAAAGCATTCAAGACAGTAAAGCTGGGCATTGCTCGACAGAGGACTCAAAGGCTTCCATGAAATTGGTGAAGTTAAAATTATCGAACAGCGTGGATTACGGGGACGCCGTGTTGCTCGGTGATCGCAGCATGAAAGTCTTGAAAATGGAAACGGACAACGAGAAAACGAAGCGAGCATTGCAAAAGACAGAAATAAAGAAATATGCCACATCGATATTTAGTCATATAACGAAAAATAAAGGCACAACTGCCGCCATTGTGGGTAACGATGAAGTGATGTCCGAATATTCCAAGTATTTAACGAACTCGTCTCTCAATGTCATGGACGACGAAAGTTTTGCGAAGGATGATCAAGTTAGTACGCAATTATAGACAATATTAAACGTTTCGATGATTTAAATGAAAATTTATCTATTGACCTTTAAACTGCCGGCATTTTTTCATTAAAATAGTGTCCTTTTTTCCAAAAAATTTATCTATATAAATAACATACACATTTTGCGCAGAATTTCCAGATTTGTTCAGAGCCATAAAAGTGGCTTTCTCAGCAGAGAACGGACGGTCAAATATAAAAAATTTTTTATTTTTTCAAAAATAGTGTATTTGGGAGCTTTCTGCTGATTCCAATATTTTGAGCATAAATTTATAATTTAGAGCCTAAGAGCAGTATTGACTACATGAATGAGCCACATACACACATGCACAGTCACCGGCAATGAATCGTTCCGTGAGAGTGGGAGCGTTGTTCCCTCACCCTCACTGGCCTCACTAGACAATGTCTCGCTTCCCTTTTCGCGGAACGATTCATAGTGCCGGTCATATATGTATATATTAGTGTATATATTAATCAGTGAGAAAATTTTCTTCACCAGTGGATAAATAACAGTAATGAGGCTTTATTGAATATAACTGGCAATCTTTATTAATAAGTCACGACTCCGACGTTTCGACTCTAATTCGAGTCTTTTTCAAGTGTAAAATGTTCTAACAAAGACTTTCGCTAGTCACGTGGTCACGATAGCGTGCCCGCACGTCAGATCTAAAGAACTATAAAGAAACAGAACGGAATTTGTTTAAACTACATACAATTAACTACATGAGTTCATGGATTAAAAAGCAAAGAAAAATTAACTTACAAGCTTTGTGC